CCTTTGCAAAACAACAACGTGAAATCACCAAAGTTTGCGTCGTCTGCGAACGGAAACCGCGACGGCAAATTATTGTAATTTCCATTTGGAACACAGCGCTGCTACCATACGTCAGTGCTGAGGTTGAGGTGTGGCACCGTAAGATTTGGTAAACGCCTGCGGCCATTTTCGAAATGCTAATTAAAAGTAGAAATTCATTTTTTTAATCGACGTCTTCCTTAGTGTCGCCGTCCTGACTGCTTAAGGTCCCTATTAAGGTACCTCACGTCACGTCGTATCACGTCACGTTACGCTGGCTATGTTGTTTTACCATGGATCTGTTCCACGCCATGTCCTGCTCCACGCGTTATGTGTTTCCTTAAAGCGCTTTTCGACCCACGTTGTCAAATACTAGAAGCGGCCATCGAGAACTTATGCTAAAAACAAGGCAACCGTCCCAAGCGCGTTGAAACGCGAAAGACCAAAACGCATTATGTAGTTGGTTTTGTTTTGCACCTGCTTGGTTGAAAATTTGGCGCGAGTTTCTTCGACCAAGTAAGATAAAACCAGAGAAATTCCTAATTACATTTGATTCTCAATCGAAAATTTACCTAAGTAACGAGTTTGGTTCTAGACCGTGATTTTACGACACATTTGATTAAACACGGTGTAGCATTGTATTAAGCAAGAGAGTACGTTAACGATATGCAGTAAATATCAATCGCTTTCCCCTAACTTCAGTATGTTCTTAAAGTCAAAAAGTACATTCATTAGTAGCTATATTGAGTTAACAATTCTACAAAATCTTCCTTCCTCTTTTTCCTCATTTTGACTACGGGACTGTTCAGCTCACAAAATCTCGTCTTTTTATAGCTTGGCGGAGTCGTTATTCCTAACGATGGTCTTTGTCATTTGGACGGGCAGGAATATACCGCTTCATTGACCATGGTAGGTCGTTAATATTACATGCTACCCGCTGGCCAGCTCTCTAAAGTATGTATGATGCACGATCCTCGCAGTACAGAGCGCTATTTATGCAATAGTGAAAATCAGACCTGAAAAAAATCAGGCCTGTACGGGATTTGAACCACTGACCTTGTATCTTCAAAGTATGTTGTCCACTTCTGTTGCAGGATTATCCATCTCCAGGACTGGTCCGTGATCTTTTACTTGAGTCGCAAGTGGTTCCAATTTTCGCTGTGGCATCCAAAGAAAAACAAGTGTATGAAGTAAGTATCAAAGAGCGTCACTGAATCGTAGAAACCATGCTTAAAATATCTAATCAAGTTTACATAATGAGCTGTAAGTATTGCGATGGTCGCCAAAAATACTTGTCGCAAGGTGACTTTCTTACTTTACGGTCAGTGCGGGAGCTTAAATATATCTAGTTTTCCTCCCTAACAAAGGTGAAATACTTTTTTTTTACACTTATTTATAAAGAGAAGTAAGTAAGACACACTCTCTCAAATCAGGCTGTATTGAATACATGATTCATGGTCACTAAAACTACCTTGTGTTGATGAGCGAGAACACGAACAAAATTCTTTAACCCTCTTTTACTCCCAAGATCTGAATTTTAATTTCCCCCTCTCTAGCTGGTCCAAATTTCTTGTAAATGAGCTACGAGATCACGGTACCCAAATCTACCCGATAAGTTTGAAGACTCTAATAACCTGTTGGCTGTATGGATGTTATAGGAGGAAGTTGGTTTATCACCTCTGGAAGTTAAAGGGTTAAGAAAAGGGTATAAGATGTATCAAAATTTTTTTTCACATACTGTGAGTCGGCAACTGACCTCTTTCCCACCTTTTTCTTCTCCCAGTATGTCCCAGTATTAGTGGTCTAAAAACTCCTTGAAAGTGGAACCCCAAATACAAAGTTAGGTCACTCGAACTCCATCCGCAGAATCATCGCCTCGTGTATCCCAGCTGTAATAGCGACAAAAGGGTTTTTAGTGGATTCGATGTAACCTATATTATTTTTTTTTTTTAGCAACTGGCATATTTTTTAGGAAACGAAACCTACGCCGAGACAGGGGAGCTTTTGGAGGATTCATCAAACATCGTGCGTGTGATTGGCGAGGCTTATAAGGTGAGGAGCTATATCCAGGAGAGAAAGCTGTTGAAAGATTAAGCAAGTGAAAGAACTGTGACTTAGCAAATTTAGTGAAAGCATTTGATTGTTATACTATAGATAGAAAATTCAGAAATATAAGTACTTTTTATCTAGAGAAAGATCTTTGATGTAAACATTGGTATGTTTTACGCATCTTCACGGTAGCCAAATTCCATTTGTAGATGTAAATATAAATAACGTTTTAAAAGGGTTAATTATCCGTTGTTTCTCTCTCATTCTACCAGAAAATCGCCCGCACTGTGACAATACGAGACTCCAATTCTGCAGGGCTCACCCTTCGATACACTGCACTCTGTCCGTAAGTACCACTTCAGTTGAACATAGAAAAACTCAGACAGTAAGCCATGACGTCACAGGACTAGAAAAGACATGCACGGCTACCTTAGCCACCATGGTATCAAAATAACAAGT